ACATGTGGTATAAAATTTAGACATTCATCTAAAGTTACGCCCAAATTTTTCACTGACTCACTTAGGCCCATATCGTCAGTCGCCCCTACAATTGTAGGGCGCGTTTATGGCCTCCTTGATTGTCATACTCCTTTCTCTCCTTCAAAAATTTCTAGATTACACTTGTCCCGTGTCAGCGTCAGCGCTCTCCTATTGTGAAGATATGTTTTCTTTTTGGGAAATTTCAGGCTGATAAAACATGATATAACTCAAAAGCAAGCACAATTTGATGCAAATAGATGTTTGTGACATAACCTCAAAATAGAGTTCTGACACGGAGAAGTAGAAAACTATGACAATCAAGGAGGCCATAAAGGCGCCCTACAATAATTGTAGGGACGACTGACGATAGGAGCCTTACTTCTATAGTCTCACCATTTAATTTTACTTTAAAATTTCTTTTGGCATCACTTCTAAATAGTTTTGGCGAAAAAATGATGACTTCCGATTTTAAAGGGTTCAACTGAAGGTTATCATTTTTTGCATACATACTAATAGATGTTATATCTTCATTTACCTCAGATTCAGCATTTCGAATGTCGTGATTATGGAAATGACTGTAGATCTGTGAATCGTCGGCAAAGAATTGGATATTACCATATTTAACAACTGAATTGAGATCAGAAATATACAAAATGAATAGGAGTGGCCCAAGTACAGACCCTTGAGGCAAATGAGGCGCTTTCAAGATAGAACCATGTCAATGTCAATGTGTACCCTTTGATATCGATTTCCTAAGAAGCTCTGAATCGTTTTTGAGGGAGAATCAGAAAAACCAAAATATTTACACTTGGCTACTAAGACCTAGCCTCGAGTACTGCTCACATGTTTGGGGTGTTGCCGCCCAGACTACGTTAGAAGTTGATTTGAGAAGGAAAAATGCAAAAACGGGGGACCCCCCCGAATGTCAAATAACAAGGATAACAGAAAAGTTTGGAGGTTTGACTGAAGAAAAAATAAAAATCTCAAAGATCAGATAAAGTTTGTAGATTAAGAATACGAATGGTTAATACAGGAAAACTTACCACATTCAAAGTACTTGACATTTCTTTCCACTTATCGTTATTCTACCACAGGTTAATTTTCAGATGATGAAGGGGCTATGTACAATTTTTGCAGTTTTTCTAATAAACCAATAATTTTTCAACATCCTAATTTTAATAAATAAAAATACTGCACATCAAAATATCTAACAAGGGATTTTGATCAGAAAGGTAAAATACCTGAAGATTTTCCAAATCGAATAACATTTTCCTCAATAACTCTGAACTTTTTTGATTGTGTGAATCGGAATATTGACTTTCTCGACCTGTCGATATCACGTAAAATTTGGAAACATTCACGTTCTTATGCATTTTACATTTTTAAAAGTGTTATTTCCAGTTATCGTACGTGAGAACTTTGTCCGTCTCCATTAACCATTAACTCATAGTCCTTTCGTGTTACCACAACTTGTACTTAAAGCTAACGTCCCAAGCAAAATAAAATGAACAATTTTGCAGGTAAAAAACAAACTTTAAGGCTTATTGATGATTGAAGATATCAAAATGATGGTTCCTAATATCATTTTAATTGTCACCATTACGTGTCTTCACATAAATCTAATTTGTTAACGGATTATTTGCAATTACGGCTTATACAAAAAGCAGCACATCATCTTTTATAATCCGTAATGAGACATCTACCCGCATGACATAATCGTGAAGATTTTAGCGAAAAAACAATGGCATTGCGTTGAATTACACCAGAAAGAACTGGCGAATAATGATAATAAACTACCGCGGAACTAGTGAAAGGTCAACATCTTCCAAAAATCCACACAAATATTAATCAATCTGACGTCAGGCGTTTATTTCTGAACGAATAGAACGTGGCGAAGAATAGTTCAGTCATACCTTTTTTCATATGCTTAAACAGCCGCAATCTATATATGCTAGGGACAACGGAACAATAGTACCGGCCAGTTGCGGATGTAGGAAGTTTGACACGGTAGGATGGGAGATCAAAGTCATGCGGGTCTGTCAGACGTCGTTATCATGGAGGAGAGCTCTGAGGAGCAAAGTCCTCAGACATAGCGGTAGAAAAAACAGCCAGTTCGCCAACGGCCCACGCTGCGAAAGGGTCCCGAGGCTGTCGGTTAGAGACATTGTTGGGAGTAAAATTGCGGTCTCATCTCACAATACGAAGTTACCTTTGTAAAGAAACATTAACTGATATGAAGAACCTAGGTACGTATGTTCCTAAGACTGGTGCATTGACAAAATTGTATGACAAACGTCACCAGCTGTCACAATTTGGGATTACTCCCCAGAGTCTTCCAAATGAAACATTCTGTTTTACTGTATCAAAGAATTATCTCCCCAGTAGAAATTCTGCCCCTAGAGGTGGTGTACACGACATAATTATTGAGAAAAGAACATGAATTTCTAACCAGTAGACGGAGACCGTAGCTGTGAACCTATAGTACCAATAGTCACAAATAATATTTTTCCACGGTTTTCCGAATTTATAAATCGTGGTCTTAACTCAACTGTACTATACGAAGGAATGTAATGTTGACGGATGAACGGTTTTACATAATGTCAATAAGACGTATTTTTAATCAGCCAGATATTACAAGTGTCTGAGAGACAACCTGACTGACTATTCAAACAGTCACTCGTCTGAAGGCTACGGTATTCGTACATATTGCAAATAATACAGCTCTATTTGCTCGTCCGAGATTTAAGCAAACCCATACACAGTGTCCCAAGTTGACGCAAAATTATACAATACATATATTTATTATTTTTTACTTCCCGCGCCTACTGGCGAGGAAGTATTGTAATCGCGCACATTTTCGGAAATGAGATATAACATTTTTGTATATCATGAGAAACGTCACTCATTTCCATCTGTCTGTTTATCTGTCTGTCTGCTAATTCTATAACCGTCTAGAACTTGAGAAGTACCGCTGAGATTTTGGTGAATTTTTTACACAGTGTTACAACTATACCAAGGACGGTAAAGTTTTGTAGCTTCTTAAAATCGCTCCTGTGACGACGAAGAAAAAATGTCGGAAACGTAAAAAAATAAAAATCGTCCAAACTCCATTTTTCGATATTTCAGAGGGTCCTGATTATTTTTGGAAAACTTTTATTGGGGTAAAAAATTTGGAGTTGGGATTGTCGAGAGTTGGAGAACATATATCCCAATTTTTAGATGTTGTTATCTTTATACGCACCTAGAGATATTTCACACATCTTAGATTTGCCTTTAAAACTTAAACAATATTCTCAGCAGACGGATCGCGTATCTAAAGACTGCGTCTGCGTCTGCTTCCGGCGGCGTGCCGGCCCTGGTAAGTGTTCTAGTACTACTGCCGTGCCAGATCATAGTGTTTCCTATGCTGTGGCCTCGGTGCCACGTCTGACCGGGTTAGATATCGGGGAGAGGTGGCGTTGCCAGATAGACTACCTAGAGGGCGAGAAAAACAATGCCATGTACTGACCTGTTTGACTGACTTTTTCTCAGAGGGGTCATGTTTGTTATGAACCGATAAGGCGTTGCGTGGGTAGTGCAGAGTCAACCTACTTAACGCCATTTCTGTATGGAGAATAGGAATTTTGATGCAAGGAGCAATAGCAACGAGAAGAGATTATTTTGAAAGGAAAGTATTCAATGTGAAAAGTACGAGTTTAAGTTTATGTAGGTTTTAGAGAAAAGAAGGAAGGAAGAGGTTGAATCGCGTTTGACACCCCACCGCACTCCACTGTGGTTGGGTGGTTGAAGTTAGTTCGAGCCCTACTACTGAAACAGTGTGAGGCAGTCACTGCTAATGGTGTTATTACATTCGCTGTGTTATAAACCGTCAAAGTTTCATTCAGTAAAATTGATCGCATGAATGCTTGATCATTCAATAGAAATATTATATTCATCTTCATCAACATCGTCACAATCCTTCGTGATTCCTTGCCGTGTTCATTATTCTCTAGACCTTTTCCACCTTTTCCTAGGTCGTCCTAAGAATCTTTTACCATCCGGTATTTTTCACAACACGCTTCTTAACAGTGTTGCGCCAGTAAATTCATGGCATCACATGTTCTCAGTACATAGAGCACCAATATAACCCGAGCTGTCGACATGCTTAGTTACATTATGGAGATACAGATACAAAGTTTGTGTATGTGAATAAGAAGAAGGATCTTTAAGATAATTTCAGCGAAAACTACGAGGACATCTATTCCTATAGTTCGGAGGTTACTTCTCAGATTATAAGATTTTTGACACTAAGTCAATGATAGAACATCTTAAGTACTCGCACCTCTCACCAATAAAGGCGCAGGAACAAGGAAAAATTTTAGAGTGTTAACCCTTAATTTCTTGAATGTTTTTGAGGTTTTTGACATAGTACAAAGGTGATTGGGGTCAACACCTAGAAAATCCGTAAAAAATGTATTTGACGTTTTTCTGTTTTCTGGTTATTTCTGGACATGGTGGAAACATAGGTTGTTCGAGGATTCTTGAACTAGATATTCGTTCTATTGTTGCATGTGATCTGCAAAATTCTGTTATCTCAACAGTAATTTATAGGATGTGTGTACGTATAAGTATAGATACTAATATGTGGGGAGTCTTGAGGCAACCTACTTGTTTCCATTTTGTTCTATTCAGGTCTCATAATAATTTTGTAAAAATATTTGAAACGTCGTCATATCATAAAACTGAGTGACTACAAACAAATTAATCGATTGCGTCATCAAAAAACACATCTATACTTTTACAAAATTGTTTCCTTATTTCTAACAAGCAATTTCTGATTACCATAGACTATATACAGTCATCCATTCAAATCAATAATATGCCTTGCTACGACCTGCTCAGACCTGGTCCGCTATATACAGGGGAAATCAAATTTGTCTGACTGCTTGAGTTCAATGTGTAGTTCGAAGTACTCTCCACGAAGATTAATACACATCTGCATGCGCTCGAACCAATTTTCGAAGCACTTATTCCACGCATTTGCTGGCAGATCCAAACGGCATTTTTGAATGCGTCAACTGCTTCTTCTGGTGACTGGAACCTTTGACCACGCAGTCTGTTTTTAATTTTCGGGAAAGTAAAGAAATCATTAGGACTATATGGAGGATGGTCCAATAATTCAACGTTTTCTGCCGTTAGATACTGCCTTGTTTATTGGGATGTGTGCGAGCTTGCACTGTCTTGGTGGAGGATGATTCTACTTTCGGGGTTGATTTTTCGAAACTCGATGATGACTTTTGGTAAACAAATGGTGGTATACCAATCCGCAGGAACAGTTATTTGCTCATTAAGAGGAATTGTTGCAATATGACCCGCTTTTGACACAAATGTCGCGACCATCTTTTTCGAAACACTTCGAGAACGGATGACTTTTGTTGGCTTTTCTTCACTTTGGAACACCCAAACAGCCGACTTTCGTTTAGTTTTTGGTTCATAATAGTAAGACCACGATTCATCACTAACAATGCTGTACACATTTTTGAGTTTCCGGAATTGAAACGGTCAAGCGTTTTTTGACACCAATTAACCCTGGCTGCTTTCTGCTCTTCAGTCAACAGGTGGGGTATCCAACGAGAAACTAATTTTCTTACTCCTAATTCTTCATGTAGACATTTTTTGAATTGAGGTCTTTGAGATCTTCAAGGACGCCTCAATCTCGCGATATGTCACATGCCTATCTTCAATGATGAGTTTGCGCACAGCATCGACGTTTTCCTGGTTGATTGCCGTTTTTGGTGCACCCATTCTGGGATCGTCGCTAAGACTCACCCGTCGACGTCCACGTTTGAGTTCTTCATACCAACGGGAAATTGTCGACTGATGTAGCGCTTCGTTGGAGAAAACAGACAGTAACTCAGCAAGGCATTCTTGTTGCGATAATTGTCTCTGAAATTTGTAATAAATTATGGCGCGAAAAAGTTCTCGGCTGAGTTCCATTTTTCTAGTGACTTGGTGACACTTAAAAATTCACTGTAGTGAGAACACTGCACGGATTGTTGTGAAACTTTGAATTTAAGTTTACTAAAGAGTGATTTTAAGATTCAGTACTGGCGTTCGATCCGCGCGGCTTACTATGTTTCTATATGCAAAACTTAAAAGACATCCCTCGTATATTGGCAACGCGGTACATCGCCGCATCTGCGTTGCTAGGCGAACGTAGTGATGAGCTTCGCTATCCATGTGGCTTCTATCTCTTTCTAACATATGTGTCTATACATACTTCTCTCTCGTACACATTGAACTCAAGCCGTCAGACAAATTTGGTTGTCGGTGTATGATCGTTCCGAATTACCGGAAACTCATAGTTGGAAAAAGCTTATAAGGTGCGCCCTACCTGCGGAAGTCACATGTCTGAGGCTGAACAGTTTAATGGACATTTTCCCTGAGTGTAGCTTCAGGGTCACCTATTTTGTGCTGCTCTTGCCACCACGGCCTATCACTTATCCTGCCCATGTTGATCTATTAGACTTTATAGTATAATTTCTTTCCCGCATAAACTCTCGTTGCATATGTCCATCCATCTGTTTGTAACTTTATCTCTTCGAGAACTATACACAACTCGAAGGATTTTTGGTTTCCATACCAGCAAATGCAGGAAGAACAACTGCATTAAATATGAAACATGGACTTCAATAATTCCACCAAAGTAGTTTTATGAATGGGATGTACGTTCTCTTCCGGGATGAGGTCAATGGGCCCCCATCACTTTATTATCGAATCACAGTTGTGTTCCTTCTCAAAATAGAAAATTAATCATCGCTGCTGTCAGAAGCAGAAGCACAAAATAAAGACTTACATAACCGACATTTTATTGCACACCACTTAATATTTTTAGAGCAGACCGGTAGTATGAGATGCATTAATAAGAATACCACCGTGATGCTTCATACTCCCGTAGATCTATCAATATCAGGCTGCTGCTGTACTTCTCAGGATGTAAATGAGCAGTAAATCACTATTTATTTATGGATTTACATAATTGACTTGTCAAATTAAGAAAGATTAATATGCGGTCATTCATCCACGTGCGTGATAAATCCGACTAAAACCATATGCTCTGGAACGAAGAACCAGGAACGACTTACAAATTACTCCTCGTCATAGAGTAGAGGACTAGAAGACTCGTGTGGAGTGGCCTTTCATCTGCATTGAAAAGATATCGGGATGTAGAAGGTATTTGCCTTTCTAACTTCGTGTCTGCCACTATTGTCTCATATAAAATTGGATACCTCAAAAATGTTCTAAAATAGATATATCTATAAAATACCTTATACCGTATCTTGATCGAATCCCATTTAACCTATTTGAAAATCTCCCAAAAAATGATTATAAAAAACAATGACAAATAGCCGTTTTACACACAAGAGAATTACTCCGAAAATTATGGTCATAATTATGCCGAAAATTTTTGCTGTCGTATTACACGTAAAAGAATTCTTGTGAAATTTTTATGGTAAAAATATAAAACCCGTTCTATAGAATATGCGCGATAATCGGCGCAGAGGGTTATTTCCGTGCATGTCAATATCAAATGTCAACGACAACAACATAACCTCACTTAACATTTGTGGGAGTGGCCCTGTTCGAGTCGTACGAAGGAGCGTTTATTGTTATTGTTTATTCGTAATGTCGTGAAATCGGGAAGAATTTGCACTGCACCAAAAATGGCCAAACCTGTACAAGGTGAAGTCACCCACTTACAAAAACAGAAATTTGCGGCGTCAGGCGCTGGATGCGATAGTCCAAGCATTGAGAAGTTTTATAATATTAACCAAGATCTCGATTTCAAAAATAAATTTAATTTATCGATGTCTGTTGTCTTTCCGATTATATTGGACGTCATACCTTATACCGTATCTTGATCGAATCCCATTTAACCTATTTGAAAATCTCCCAAAAAATGATTATAAAAAACAATGACAAATAGCCGTTTTAAACACAAGAGAATTACTCCGAAAATTATGGTCATAATTATGCCGAAAATTTTTGCTGTCGTATTACACGTAAAAGAATTCTTGTGAAATTTTTATGGTAAAAATATAAAACCCGTTCTATAGAATATGCGCGATAATCGGCGCAGAGGGTTATTTCCGTGCATGTCAATATCAAATGTCAACGACAACAACATAACCTCACTTAACATTTGTGGGAGTGGCCCTGTTCGAGTCGTACGAAGGAGCGTTTATTGTTATTGTTTATTCGTAATGTCGTGAAATCGGGAAGAATTTGCACTGCACCAAAAATGGCCAAACCTGTACAAGGTGAAGTCACCCACTTACAAAAACAGAAATTTGCGGCGTCAGGCGCTGGATGCGATAGTCCAAGGATTCAGAAGTTTTATAATATTAACCAAGATCTCGATTTCAAAAATAAATTTAATTTATCGATGTCTGTTGTCTTTCCGATTATATTGGACGTCTTACCTGTTAAGGTTATGTCCATTCGAAAATATTACTCTAATGCGCAGGCGTATCATATGAATTACTCCGAAATTTTGTTTGCTTGTGTCATACAGGTTGTAGAGAACATCTTCAATATTTTTTCCATGCAAATTTTCAGCATAATTATGACCATAATTTTCGGAGTAATTCTCTTGTATGTAAAACGGCTCTAACAAAACAATATTGCATCCCAAAGATATACACGTATATGACATGATCTCTTACATGCTATCATCCACTATCACAAATTTATTAGTGACTATCAAAAAGTCAAACACAATCACGACACAAGGCACAAACTACAAAAAACGGTTGTACCTAACAACATAAAGAACCTAAGCTTTGAGAGTAATTAAAAGAACTAAATGAACGGATATTTTCTTTGGCAAGGGCAGACGTACACAAATTAATACCAAATGTAAACATCATATCATTTGATGTTGTATCATTATTTGTACTTTAATTTCAAGATATTAATTTTTGGTATAATAGGGTTATTACGCCCGTGTCATATGACTTCTATCTTAAAGTAATTCTGTACCTGCCAGCTATTTATTTTCCAGCATCAGTAACTTTGAAGATGATCCTATTTTGGAAACATGAGCAAATAATTGTCTAATTATTGTTTGACCTTTTATTGTATCCAATTATTTCTGAGCACTCAGATGATGGAAGTAGTCGAAGTTCAGTTTGATACATAGTTAAGTGACCTTCTTCCGTTTTGAAAACGATAGCTTTAACTTCCTAATCTTTCTCAAAATTGATGTTGTTAAACATTTGAAAAAGCATTTAGGTGGAGGATTCCTAAAATTCACACACCATTTGCAACTGTTGCCACTCGCCCAGTATAATTTTTGAAATAAGACAAGAGAAACAATTTGGTAGCTGTCAGATTGGAGTAAAAATGGAGCCTCACTCAAGATAACACAGCGATTTGATTGTTGAACAAGTACGTTTTCTTTTTAAACAAAAAAAGACCGACTGCAGTAACGTGATAATAATTAAGTTTTAATCACGCTATATAAACGAAATCAAAAATACCTCAAAATCCATCAAACCGTGTGAGATATGGCCCGTGATTTAGAATTTATGAATCTGACGTTTGGAATAAGATACCCACTGTCACTCTCAGTCATGACACATCTAGAGACATCTTGAATGTCAATGTTCATTAACCTGTAGCCCATGAAATAGGCAAATTAAAATTGATGATTCCAACAACATCTAATACCATATGTGAGATATCATATGTCAAGACTGCATAACAATTAACCGGTGTGTTATGGCAATAAGTGTAATAAGAGTGGGTTTTCGCGTTTTTTCGAGGACTTCTGACGTCTTCGGCACTATTGTAGTAACATACTGTATAGGAATGCGAAAAAATTGTCAACTGAAGTGGAAGAAGAGGAATTTTAAACATATGTGGTGAGATTAACTGTATGACACATTTAATGGTCATGTACTCTCTCGTTTCGGTGTTCAAAATTGGCCCCCTAGATCATGTTATTTAACACCATTGGATTTCTGTTTATGAGGTTATTTGAACCCAAAGGTAAATGCCAGTAAGCGCACAGACATGCTTTGAATCTGTATTGACGAAATTCTACCACGAAAAAGGAATGCGCATGTGTCAACAAAGCTGCTGAAGTTATTTGCCAGATGCGATATTCCATAAATGACCTACAATTCAGCAAAAAAGTTAAGTCTGAAAGAAAAAACACTGACTGTGGTTTCTATATGA